AAGGTCGACATTATGGAAGCTTCCATCATTTACAAAACTCAACACTTTCTTCAAATATGGTCATGCAAAATAGCTTTCTAGGACAACCTCTTGTCTAAGTACAAAGTGAGGGACTGAAATAACACTTATAGAGTAACATAAAATGCATATTTAGACATAGACACGCTAACAGAAAAAAGGTACTTAATATTCGCGTTAGACATCCTCAACCTTAAGCTTAGTTTTACTCAATTTGAGGTCAAGAATGCCAGCATAGCTGAGTAGTAAGTAGATCCCAGTCAGACCAAAACAAGTCCTTTCACTACCTATATGTAGCTGGCTAGACGGATTCATTTCCATTACTGAGGGTGGAGAACAATTAAACAAAGGAATGCAAAATACTCTACCTCGGGCAAAACTGTCAGGAGTTCCAAGAAACCAGGCACATACTCAGGATGCATATTCATCTCATCCCTAAGCCAGCTAACTATACCACCATCTCCCCAATCTGCAGCAGGAACGTGCACCGCCAAAGCAGCAACAGCAATACTAATCTACAATACAGAATTTTTGAATTAACTTCATTCAGCTCTTAACGCACAACAACTTCTTCCCACAAGCGCATAATGGGTAGAATTTTTTTTGAAGCTTACCTGGGTCCTAACTTTCGGGGGGCCTTTGTGAAACTTTTTTAACAATGTCTGCAGTTGAGAAAATAGTGACAGTCAAATTATGCCAGAAAGTTATTGTCCAATAACAAGAGTACATGTTGCCTACAACTATAGCGTGGAATGGTATAAAACCTAGATACCAGAATAAATATTGGCAATACACTAGTCCACTGAGTTTTCCTAGTACACTATTCTTCAAAAGAACAAGCATATATAACTATTCAAAAACCTCACATAACTACTAACTAATAGTTACTTATGGAACAAAGATTCACCGTTAATGATTGCCGTAGCTTCTGAAAAGCCCCAGGTGGTAGTTCTTCAAAATCTCTTTGAACCTTTGAGTAAGACAGACCAGAATGTCAAAAGATGCAGTCTCCCAAAATTGCATATATAGAGAGAGAAGTAACTAAACACTGTGCTAGCTTATACCTTGCTTCTAAGTGTCTGAGAACAAAATATCAAAGTTTCCAAATTGCTTGAAGAATCATGAAGTAAATTATCCGCAACCTACAATAACACACACATCAACATCACAAAAGTAAGAAGCCTTGCATAACTCTTCCAACAAAACCTTCCTCATCTCCGGAATCAACAATCATATACTCATAAAACTAAAGCAAAAATCAATTCTCTAACAAGATAGATCTATCTCCATAGGCCTTAATTTCACTAAATTGAAGCCATTATATTCAAATCCATCATCTAATACTGAAACTCGAGCTTCCTGCTACGATTACAAATGCAATACAAGCAAATCGAGAACACAAAATTGATTGAAAATGGAACTAGGTAACACCTAAAATTAGAAGAGAATATACATACTTCTCCGGAATCAACAATCATATACTGATAAAACTTAAGCAAAATCAATTCTCTAACAAGATATAGATCTCTCTCCATAGGCCTTAAACATACTTCTCCAACGCCATATCTAAAGACTAATGAAACATTTCAACAAAATCATCATCTAATACTGAAACTCGAGCCTCCTGCAACGCATACGAATTCAATACAAGCAAATCGAGAACACTAAATTGATTGAAAATCGAACTAGGTAACACCTAAATCAAGAATCAACAAAATCGAGGTTAAATGAGATTAAAACTCGATTAATCGAATAAAAAAAACTCGCCTGCCAAGCATCGAGGGTTCCTTGGAAGTTCTGGAGCCAACGATCAGCTTGAACACGTACTGTATCGTCTGGATGATGATACAATGCGGTTAGGGCTTCTTTGACCGCGTTCTCATGCTCCATCGCTTGATTTTATTTGCTCGTACAGCTACCTAAATCACGAGATTGACGAAGAGAAGAGATTGCCCCCAGTAAAATCGATTTCGCCCAATTAGAAGAAAGAAGTTCCCTCTTTGTGAAAAGGGTTTTTTTTTTTTTTTTTTTGGCGCCCGCCTCTCCCTCAGCTTGAGTAAGAGAGAGATCTGAAAGGGGGTGAAGAAGAGGGAATCGAATCTCAGCCGTTGGATTTTAATTCCTTTGACTTTAAGTCAAATCCTTCTTTCTTTTTTAGATTTGGAAAATAATCTCCCATTTATTTTTTGAATTAGATTTTGCAGGTAAGTTTTTGAATAATTGCATAGTGTTTCTAATAAGCTCCCATTTACTTTTTGAATAATATTTTGCAGGAAAGTTTTTGAATAATGGCATAGTGTTGTTACTAAGTTCTCATTTATTTTTGAATAATAATGACATTATTGTGTAATAAGTGAAATTCATTAAGAATTTAATCATTTTTGGAATTTAAAGAGAAATCAGATTTTAATAAATTTTAGAGAGAAAGAGTATTTGAGAAAAAAAATATATCTCTTAGAGAGTATTTGGACATTTGATCATTTATTTTTCAATTATAATAAACACACTACAGTAAAACATCTATATTAATAATATTGGGATTTTGAAATTTTATTAATCTATAGAGATATTAATTTACAAAAGTTTCTTTATTCAGATTTTTATTTTAAGATATATTTATTCTTTTTTTTTGGGCAACAATATATATTTATTCTAAAATAAGAAAAATATTAAATTTTAATATATAGACATCAGTTATTATTTTTGAAATTCGGCATTTATTAATTCTATTATTTGATGTGTATAATATATATTACATATAATTTAATGTGATTTTAGATATATATTACTAAATCTCATCAAAAATATACTAAATGTTAAAAAATATAAAGATAATTCTATTGTGAAATAAAAAAAATAGTATAATAATAGGTTATTACTTATATAAAATATGTATTCATAAAACTTATTAATTTATATATTTAATTGAACCATATATTTACATAAAATCTTCTAAAATTTTATTATCTTATTATTTATCCAATTTGTATCAAATTTTGAATTGGTCCAAACTGTAACCTACAAAATTTATTAATTTATAGAAATTATTAATTTATCGAACATTAATTTATAAATATTGTAATGTAGGGAGAAAATGTATCATTGATTCTTCATAACATAAGAAAGATTGTTAAACCTACAAGATTTGAGAGCAGCGTATGAGATCTCTGTGTCACTGAATCAAACTGTTATGAGTTATAACAGACTGTACAGCAATATTAATGCTGTTTTTATAAAGTATTAATCTCTCTGGTCACCTTCAAATCTATCTTTCTCATATAACAATGATAGCGAGTTAGAGACATAGTGGAAAGTAAAGGTTGCATTCATTACAAAACACAAGCACCATCAGAAATAAAATTATGTGATTCCGTTAAAGTTCCCATCAAGCTGTATATGGAGGCATGGAGACACTCTGGATGAGTATCCCCCCTGGGATTAGCCATGTAAAATGTATATCTTGTTTAGAACCAATCATTTTCTACCATCATTGACATAAACTGGGTATAACATCTTGGGCTTTACGTGTGCTTCACCATCTTGTTTGGAACAATCATGTTATTTCTCTCTATGTATGTTTACTATTGGGTCACATCACATGGGTCTAACAACAAGTGTTCATCTCATTGGTTTGATGGTGAACAGATTAAGAGCCCAACGGAACAAATGCAAATATTTACAATCACGAGACTATATTGATGATAATTTGATTGAACATTTTATAATCAGCGCCACCAAATATGTGTATTTAAGAGGAAAAAACGATGATGTTAAAATTATTATGCATTATAGTGCCATTCGTCTCTGCTCGAGATAGATGCACGGGTTCAGCAGTTGGTTCTATAGTTTTTATATTGCAACGGTTATAGACATAAGTAGAAGAGAGAGCGAATAAAGGTGGAAGAGACAAGTGTCTAAAGCATAGACACCTAGCTGCAAATGTGTCACACATGAAGCCCAACTTCCACCTCACGCACCATTTCCCCATAAAAAAGACTTTGGTCCCCTTTTTCTCCTCAATATTCCCTAATTTTTTTTTTTAAAGGTACTCCAAATCAGAAATTTTAACAATTTATATGTTGACTAAAATTAGATTGTTTTATCAAGTGAAATATATTATCAACTTTAGTTTTATCAAGTAAAACACTTTGTTCATGAACCCTGTTCATTTAAAAAAATATGTATATATTTCTAGTTGCGGAATAATACAACCTATATTTAGTAAAAATCATTTTAAAGTAAGAAAGCAAGTAGTTTCATATCCCGAAACAAAATCACATGTGTGAAGCTAAAACCATTCAAATTACAGAATCCAATTTTTGAATTTACAAAAACTAAGAAAAAAAAAGTCAAAGTCGCATGAGAACATGAGTCATTTTCTGACTTCATTGGTGATGCAATCAGTAGTAATACAAGGGCCCAATACAGAATTCAATTAACGAAGTTGACCCATTTAGCACCGCTTAAACACAACACTAATAACTAATCATTTAAACCAGAATAAGAATCGTATCTACTAAAATATAATAAAAACCTATTTCCAAATATACGATTTCAGTAGATTATCATTTGTTCTTAAAAAAAATCCATACAAAATCATGTTTACATTCTGTATCTGGTAGCCTTAAACCTATCTATTATATTTTTGCGTTTTCTTTTATTTTATTGGTGGACTTCCATTATCTAGCGGTTTTAAAATTAATTTTTGATTATAAAGTCCATAAAGATAAATCCAACGAATCTAAATACAATATTTAATTTAAATAAGGAAAAGGAAAAGAGATTCGAAAAAAAAGGAAAGAGAAGGAAACAGAACGGCGGTTTTATTCGGACGTCAGCACAGAGCACTAACTAAGAAGAAGAGAAAGGCCTTTGTCTCCTTCCTTTCCTCTTCCTTACGCGTTTCTGTTCTTTTGCTTCTCTTCTTCTTAATAACAATCCACACGCTCCTCTCTCTCTCTCTCTCTCTCTCTCTCTAGAAAGAAGTTTAAAAGTCTTTCCTTTACCGTTTCTTCTGCGTTTGAATTTTCTAACACCCCAAGGAAAGTTCTTGAATTTTCTATTGGTTCTTGAATTTTCTCTCCGTGTTCAAAGGGTTTCTCGTCGATCTAATTCTTGTGATTTTCAACTTTTTTTGTTTTGTTTTGGAGATTCCTTTTTCCTCTTTGATCATCATCATCGTCTAGGGTTTCTATTTGTAGCAATGAGGAAGCCGAAGAAGCTAGACTTGTGTGTCTCTCTGACAAAGCAGAGATCAGTTCAGATACTAATATCAGTTGGGTTTCTCTACATGCTTCTCATCACACTTGAAATCCCATTCGTTTTCAAAACAGGGTTCAGCACTTTATCTCAAGACCCGTTAACCCGACCCGAGAAACAAAACAGCCAGCGTGAGTTACAAGAAAAGCTACCTCCAAGCCGACCATTAAAGAGTTTGCTTTTTCAAGGGTCTGAGTCTGAACCACCCGAGGGTTTAAGGAGGAGGAGGAGTCGGATCCTGTCTACTTTAAAGTTCGACCCGGAAAATTTTAACCCGTCGGTGGAGCTCCACAAATCCGCTAAAGTAGCTTGGGAAGTTGGTAGGAAGCTATGGGAAGATCTTTCCTCTGGAAAGTCTTTGGAGAAGAGTAAGGATCATGTCTCAAAGTCAACCCCATGCCCACTCTCGGTTTTCTTAACCGGGTCGGATCTTGTAAACCGTGGGAGTCTCATGGAGCTTCCTTGCGGGTTAACTCTCGGGTCACATATCACAGTGGTTGGGAAGCCACGTGCTGCTCACTCGGAGAAAGATCCGAAGATATCATTGTTGAAGGAAGGAGAGGTCTCACAGTTTAAGCTTGAGCTTCAGGGCTTGAAAGCAGTGGAAGGAGAAGAGCCACCTCGGATCCTCCACTTGAACCCGAGGCTTAAGGGTGATTGGAGTGGTAGGCCTGTGATTGAGCAGAACACTTGTTATAGGATGCAGTGGGGTTCTGCACAAAGATGTGAAGGTTGGAGATCTAGAGATGATGAAGAAACTGGTTAGTATTTGCATTTACCTTTCTTCTTTATGTTATTGGGGATACTAATTAGTAATTAGCTTTAGAGCATGTTTATTAGTAATTAGTTAAAAACTAAGGGACTGTACGCTAAAAAACTCAATTTAAAGGACATGCAATAAACATGCTCTTAGAATTGTTTTTAAATCTGGTTGGACCAGGTTTGACCATGAACCAGTCACCTAACCGGTTAGGTCTAATAGCTGGTTCAACCATAACTGGTTAGCTCTAATAACTAGTTCAACCAGAACCGGTTAAGTAGTCTCAAAGTTAAGGACTAAATTCTACATTGCCCCACTCACTACCATCTTCATTCTATTTTAACCCATC